AAGAACTGCAACAGGGTATTATGGAGGAACTATGAGAAAACCTTCCTATAAAGATGTCTCTGAAGGGAAAACAGGACATACTGAAGCAGTAAAAGTCACATATGATAACAGATTTGTATCTTACAAATCTCTTTGCGATTATTTCTGGGAAACTCATGATCCGACCAATAAAAATTCCCTTGTTAGTCTCTCAATCTTCTCGTAACATATTTTTTCTAACGTATCAATTAAAAGTCTTATTTATTTCTTATATAGACAAGTGTGACATGAGATATGCTATTGTTATGCAGAATTTTGGGTCAAATACGCATCTGAGATCTGCTATATTCTGTTCAACAGAAGAAGAGAGAAAACAAGCACAACAATCAAAGATAAGACGGCAAATGAAACTTAATAGAAGGATTCTAACGAAAATAAATCTGTTATCGAAACAAATTACTAGTAATTGTGAGTTTTTTGTTGCGGAGAATCAACATCAAAAGTATTACCTCCAGAAGCATTACAGGCTTTGCGAAAGTTTGAGCCTAAGAAGCACGGAACAATTTGTTGAGTCTTACCTTGCCTGCAAACTTAACGGGTATGTGAACGTGTTAACTAAAAGTCATGATAATTTTTTTTTTCTAATATAGTTCAAATTTGGCTTTGATTGATTTTTGACACACAAGATTTGGGATCCATATTGAATAAGCACTTTCAATTTTACAAATTAATTAATTTTGAAATAAAGTTGACTTTAGTTGGCTTCTTAGACTTTGATATATATATTTCCAACAAAGTTTATGGCTTACCGAACAATATATTATTTTAATTTTTTTTTACTTTGATTATCTTTAATATTTGTGATGTCATGCATTTCTATCTTTGGTATTTAACTATTTATGTCACAGTTTATTATTTTTTCAAATTATTTTTTGAAGAATAACTCTCTTTAGTAAAGGATTTTTTAGGAATAATTTTTTTATCCCGCATAGATAAAAGTAAGATACATATTTACCCCATTGGATATGTTTATTATAAAGTTTAACTTTTTTATATATATATATTATGAGGTTAAGTTTGAATATCTACCGTAAGTATAACTTTTAATTGCAAGTATGATTTCATATGAACTGTTTGGCCATGAGAAAATTGTACTGATGTCAAAAAACTAATATTTGGCCATAAATTTTTTTAATACAAGTTAAAATTCTATTTGAAATGAAATTTGAAAAATACCCGAAACCTTATTTTTAATTTTTAAAAAAATTTCTTTTTCAAATTATACCAATTTTATATTTTTATAAAATAAAACCATTTAATTTATGTTTCATATTTTTTTTAAAGTATATTAAAATTTTAAATATTTATTACAAAAAATATTATCAAACACAATATCAAGTACAACTTTGAAATTTCAAATAAAATTAAGAAAATATTACTCCTATTAAATTTTCATGGCATGTATGATCTAGAAAATAGTGTAATAACTTAATATAATCTGTTAAATTATACGCATAATACAAATAATATTTATACGCAATGTGTGTTACTTATCCACTCCTTTGCCATGATTACATTGGGGCATGGTTCGACATTGTCAAATTTACATCAGTACTTCTAGACGATCATAATATCTTTTATTGAAATTATATAAGTACAATATATAATTGATTAATTGTAACCTCTAAATTATGAATGCAACTTTATCGATAGATTTTAATTTAACTAGGATCTTATTGTTCATCGAATTCCTGTTGTATATTTATATAATATTATTTACGTTGACGTGACACATTCGATTAAGTTGGCTATTTTGGTACAATGATCTTTTGCACTAATTTTTGTGTGTAATTAATTCAATGCATGTGGCAGAGTATTGGCATTGGATGGGGAAGTGATATTGGAGAAGCTACCACAATTAACGAGGACTTGTCTGTTGCCCAAACAATGCAAGTCCACTTGTGATGAAATTATACAAGATTTAAAGACAACAAGTGCCCATGGCTCCACTATTACTTGAATAATCTATTTTCCACTCTTATATTAACACCATTTGTAATTAGCATATTAGCTAAATTACAGGGTTACATTTACCATGATATCTATAGGTCTTTTAATTCCTCCTCCTTTAAATAAATGACACTAATTTATTGTGATGAATGGAAAAGATCTCCACCAAAATGTATAGTTTACTGATATTGATGGAAGTCTATCACATAACAAGTGTTCAAAAAAAAAAAATGATTGACAGATCAAAGAGAAATTCAGACAACTAAAGAATAAATTAAAGGATCCAAACTTTAGTGTACTAAATTAGAATCGGGATCAGAACCGATATATGAATGTTGTACCAAAAATTGAGGTAAGAGTTCAGGTCACGGGTAAGATCACAACTAGGTTATGGGTCTTAGTTTGAAATTTCGAGTCTATTAATCTTAAGTTATAATAAAAAAATTGGATCTCAAATTAAGATCACGTCTCTATTATTGAATTGAAATTTGTGAGTCTGTTCCTAAAACCTTATCGGGTTTAAGATTGAGAATCCATACTTGAATCATGGATTGTTCCAAATTCCTTATTTAATCCATGTCTACCAATGTGATTTCAAGAGCAAAAAATTTGCATAAATATCTAATATAGAAAATTGACTTTATGAACTAAGTAGAAAAAGAAAACATCTATATACCATTTTTTTCTCACATTATAATTCTTCATACAATTCCTTTGAACCTTAGTTGCAATAACTACAATTCGACACACCTTTTTTCTCCTCAGACGATAATTCTGAGAAATTTAACTCATTTGAATAATCATAGTATTTGCTTGATGAGTCGCAATTCGATTCGTTTGACTGGTGTAATTATTTTTATTTTTGACATAAAAATAATTTGTTTGATTAACCAATATATTAAAAAAAAAAACTAGAAATTAGGGAGGATATGGTTTCAACTATGGTTCATTACTATTATATTCGACAGAAAAATTCAAGTTCCATTGTATACAAACCTATGAAATTCAAATACAATGATTCGTTCTTTATGCAAGTATATGATAAAATTATATTCAATTTTATCATTAATTTTCACACCTCTTTTGCATTTTGTAATGACCCAAAATGTCATTTTTGATAATTTTGAATAGTCATTTAACTATAGTTAATTTATTTATGGGCAATTTGTTTAATATTAATAATAGTGGGCCAAAGTCTAAAATATTAAAATAGGTTAGTAAAATTTTTTTAACTTCTAGTACATAACTAATTAAGAAGTAAAGAGAAGTGTTTGACGAGAGGAGCTGCGGTTCAGTGTCAATAAGAAAAGCGGTCAACTGCTTCAGGTAAGTTTCTCACCAAATCCTCTAACTATGTAGTGATAATGTCATAACTAGTTATAGATATGTAATTGGGTTTTTTTAGAAATTATTGATGGTGTTCCCTTTGGAAGTATGCCAAGATTTCCAATGGAATATTAATATATCGTCAATAGCCATTTTGAGATAATAATTGGACAATTATATTATATGGAAACTATTAGGGTTGTAGTGTTTGGAGAAATTATGACTTAACTCTTCACTTAAAATTTAAGAAATATGAGATTTGACTTATTGGTTAGAATCAAGATTGAGAAACTTTATTATAAATTTGGATAAATTGTTGGGTCAAAGTTAAACAGATAGTAATATGAGTGTTATAAGTTTTGAAGTCTTATTGTGGTTATTGATTTGAATAGATTGTATTGAATTGAAAGTACAACGAAGGAGGAAGGCTTAAGTCCCGAAGTGATTGTTCGATAAATTGAGGCAAGTGGATTTCTAAACTCTTGTTAAGCGTATGAAATTCGTGTATATCCTTGTGTGGTGTTGAGAATGATTTGAAGACTTGTTGCTGATTTGTTGGTGTTGTTTTCCTTGTTGTAAATTGTGTTTGATATCAAAATGGTTATCTCCTCATTTTCATTTGAGCATGTCATTGCATTGCATCTGAGACATGGTTGTAATAAGAGTTATGTGATAAGAGGATGTACCATTTCGAGGGTCGTATCGAGCGTCGCAATGAATATTATATTTCGAGGGACGTATCGCGCGCCGCAATGGTTACTATTTTCGAGGGTCGTGTCGTGCACCACGACAGATGCATGGACAGATATGTCCCCCGTGGGTCCCGAACTGAGAGACAACAGGTGTGTATCACCAGGTCAGACATGCATCATTATACATGACAATGCATTCCATTGCATTGCACATACTTATCATTTGTGAACTTGATATCTTGTTTTTATGATCTTCTGATTGCCTTTCTGCGGAACTTGAGATTGATCAATATTGAGCTTGTTATTGCGGATATGTAATTTGTTGAAGTATTGTTGTTGAGGATATGTAATTTGTTGAAGTGTTGTTGTTGAGGATGTGTAATTTGTCTAAGTGTTGTTGTTGAGCTACGTGCTATGTAAACTGTGAGTTGTTAGGTTGAGTTGATTTTAATGCAGGTTATAGTTGTGGAGGTTCGGTTGGGGGTGGTAGGAGTACCCATATTTCATCCCCTTAGCTTGTGTTTAGAGGTTTACTTGCTGAGTACCGTGTGGTTTAGTACTCATCCCTTGCTTCTATAAATTTTTGTAGGTTATGAGCCTGAATTTTTGTTGTACTTGTCATTCTCTTCTTTTTCGAGGCTTCTTTGAGATTTGTGAGGTAGTTGTTTCCATCTCAGCAGACTTTCTTCTCCTTAATTATGATCTTGTTCTATTCTAGATACAAGTTCATTTGAGACTTGAGTTTTTCTTTTGAATCAATTGTAATACTTTAGAAGCTTGTACACGTAATTACTAGGTTTTGTGTTTTTATTAAGTTACTTATATTTTATTTCCGCATTTTATTGTAATGGTTGAGTTTTAGGCTAACTTGTTTTGGTGGGATAAGACGAGTGCCATCACGTCCACTTTTGAATCGTGACACATCTTCACTCTTTCCCAATTGTTGCTTACCCGAATACGATTGTTCTGTATTAGATAAAGTCATTTTCAATTTTTTTCACCAAAACCTACCAATTTCTCTTTCTCAACTTGTTTTCTTACCCACTCCTTTCTAGTTATTGGCTACCCAATTGTTTTTTTGTATTAGATAAAATACTTTTCATTTTTTTCTTTCACCAAACCTGTGTACCACATGAGTTTATATCAATTGCCACTACAAAAAAAATATCTAAATTGTGGAAGTTTTAAAGTAGAGGTTAGTTGCAACCTTCACAAATTACTTTAAGTATCGGAGATTTTAGAGCTGACAGAAAATATAAGTAAATAGCGAAGGTTCAAAACCCCGCCATCTAAAATGCCCGTAATCTGAAAATAAAAATTTTTATTTCAAAAATATAAAAGTTCATTAGTATTTCATTATAATGAAAATGTATGCCGGGGTTTAGATCTCAACTTTCCCTCAATATTTTTCCTCCCAAAATTTTAGGGTTGCAGGGAAGATGTTCTCAGAATTTTCTAGCTGGTGAAGAGAATTCTGGTGATTTATGTTCGCAAAAAAGAAGAGGAACTCTAGTTAGGTGTTGATTTTCCATTAAGGAAGAGAGGATTGATTGGATTCTCTCTAAGCTTGCAAATTTGCTCTTCCGTCGACAAATATTCTCAAAATCGTCACAGGTGGGAATATTGTCTCCCTCATGTGCAATATTAGGAGTTATGTATAGTGTATTTGATTCAGATAGAGTTAAAGTTAGTTATTTTTTTTGATTTATGTCTGAATTTTGATTCTGGAATTAATGTGTTTTCGTTGAGTATATTGATGAGGTAAGTTGTACTTTATGAGGAATCAGCTGTAATTCTGAATCTAACTCCTAAGCTCTTAGATGTTTCAGCATATGATGCAATGTGTGAAAAATTACTGTTTGGTGTAAATTGCAACTCACTGAGTCAAAGTTTCTACTATTATTTCTAGACTAAATTTTTCAGTCCTAGTATCCAATAAAGTTCTGAATGTTGAATGAATTTGAAGGATCTGAAATTCTTATGTGCAATTGTAGTACCATAGTGTTATCTATACTTGATTATATAGATATACATTTGTTCTACTAGATTGGTTTAGATAGATCCTTGGCTTGAATTTTCAAGTCCTATTCTATATGCTTATTTGAGATTCTACAATTATACTTTTGTATTGGATTTGAGTTTTAGCTGATTATTTATCAAGCAGATATTGAATGTATGAGTTTTTTCCTAGTATTAGGCATATGAAGTGGTGAGATTCTAGCTCTAGATGTATTCGCAGGTCATCTGAAATAGAGATTTAGTGATTGCCATCCTGGGTGAGTTGCAGAAAGAATGGTATATTTCCTGTAAAACTCTCTTTTATGTGTTCACTTGGATATTATGTGTTGTACATAAGATTAGTCACTGCAAAAAATATATCAAGCCATAAATTGCTTTGAATTCTGCTTAACGTTTTATTTGGCAAGCGTTATATCTTAATTGTTTTGGTAGGTTAACTTTTGAATTCTCATTGAAAGATGTATGACACATGAAATAGAAGTTGTTCTGAGAGTACGTTTGTAGAGTACTAATGATTTTGGAGCTCAAGTTGCTCATTTTGGTGCGATAAAGACGATTGATGTCAGTGAAAATGAAAACAAGTCTATGCATGTAATAAGAGGCTATTGCTCTAGGTTAGTGTATTAATTTTTTCACTTTCACTTTTCACTTACCGCAAATTAATCATTGTTTCTGATTGTCCACATTTTATAAGAGAACAGTCTATACACACTAAAGGGAATTATCAAAGTTAAGTACAGACAAGATGCTTGTGAGGTTGGTGATGAAGGTGGATTCATTCTAAATGTCCACGGTAGTAGGGAAGGGCTAATTACACCGGTAAGGTCACTTTCTTTTTGGCCTTGAAGTTCTGTTACATTGTTTTTGAAAGTGATGGATTTTTCATTGAAAAATTGGTGCAGATAGAAATTGGAATGGATGTAGTAACATCTAAGTTGTTTTTCTAAGTTTCAAGAGACAACCAAATAATGGTGCACACATATGGATTGCTTATGTTTTAGATTTTTTTGTTCATTTGTTATAGTTTCACTCTTCTTGAGAATTTGGTGTATTTGCCCTTCTAACATATATTTTCTTTTCTTTTGAAGCTTACATACTGGATTTGTGCCAAGATAAGCAACGGATAGAGGCAATTGATAAGTAGAGAGCTACGATATCTTGTTGATGCCTTGTTTTAATTTATGTGAGTTGTGACAAGAATTTTATGAATTCGACAACTACTGTGGATTGACGTACACTGTATTTGATATTACTGGGCATTTTGTGCTTGGTGGACTGCAAATAAAGATAGTTATGTGTGTATTTAGGTATCATTGTAGATTGTAGAAGTGAATTATGTATCATTGTAAATTTTAGTACTATTGTAGATTGTAGTTCATTGTCGTTGTTTTCTTTAATGCTTTGCCATATTCAAATAAGTTAAGGTGTATTTGCAGCTACCATATTAATGTCACTTTAGTCGTGTTGTATTCGGGTGTAGATATAGTAAAAATTATACTTTAGGACAGGTATTCATTCAGGAGCATCCTTGAGAGAAAGTCTAGTCTTATGTGGTATCGTCATCCTGAAAAAGGAAAAGGAGATAGTCAAATTGTTAGGAAGTGACTATTAAAATAAAAGCTTTTCCAAACCTCTTGTGTCTATGATGGATACAAAAATCATAAATAGCAATATGAACACTAATAAGCAGCAATACCACTAAAGTCAGTTAGAAACAATTAGTTGTGTTTGAGCCTCATGCCTTAATATGAACACTAATATGTGTTCTTTTCTTATTCTCCCTTCAGATCTTACTAGCTTTTTAGTGACTGTGCTCTTAGAGATGGCACATATAGTTGCATGCACAACTATTATTTGACTTGTAACACTCCACTGGATATTCAGGTGAAGGGAATCATGAAGGACAAGAAATATGAAACATTAGTTGATGTCGATCTTCAAGGTCCACCAACTTATTCAGGTACTCTACTTTGCATGCAAAGTATGCCTACGGAGTCCAAAGATGTCAGAAGTTGTAAGAATGCTTGAAGGTAATGGCCTCGCTAAGAGGTGGGAGGACATTTTATAGAACGTCCAAAGATGTCAATTTTTCTTCTTCAAAAGTTGACAGCTAATATTTCCAAAGCAGGACATTAGTGACACTAGTCATAGTGACAATCGTTGCAGGCCTTTCCTTGAGTATGGATGATAGTGAAATTTTTTTTATAAAAGCAAAATTAGCGAATGATTGTTTTAATAGTGATTTGATGTTTCTTGTAATTGTAATCGTAATGATTGAAGTGAATGATATTTTTTCAGTTTAGTTTGTAAAACTTATATTACATTTTATAATACATTTTTGTGTTGAAATATTTTGTTATTTATTAATGCTAATAAACCCCACTAATTCAGGTTTGACTATGATGTACATGTTAATTCAGGTTACATGTTCATAAATTACAGGGATTAAAAACTCCTGTTATTCTTATGTAATATTCATGATTTTTGGGAATTCTGATTCTCAAACTTGAACTGCAATTTTTTTGACATACATTTTTGGGTTAAAACTCCCACTAATAAACCATGCTAATGATAACAGGGGTCGATCAAAAACTCCCATTACTTAATTGTGACACATCTATTTGTAGGGGTTCTCACTACTGCCTCAAAATTAAATTGTGAAGTTACTGACTGTCACAACATGTAATTTTAACTTTCACTATTTAAGCTTTTTTTTTGTAGAGTCCTCTTTTTCAGTCTTTTTGCTTTATTATTCAATTCTTTTTCTAACTCTTTTTTTTATTTCTTTAGCGATCAAGTAAATTTCTTAAATTTTAAACAATAAAATTATAGATAATAAGAATCAATAAACGTTTACAAAAAGATAAAGATAAATATTCAATTATTTTTATATGAATATCTTTATTCTAAGATTGAGTCTAATTAACCTGCCTAGATAATAATATTATCACAAAGCTACTTAATTAATTGATATAGTAGAGTTGACATTTTACTCTATCATATTTCTATAAAACAAAAACTCAAGATGTGTCATGTAGCACCAATTTCAATCAGTATATTACTTCATAGTATCATCCACACTTTTCAGTTGATCAAATAAGATGTAATCCATTTGTTTTTCATACAATCTGTTGGATGATGTTTTATAAAAAAATATTTACTAATATGAAAATGTGACTGTACAACTATCAATATAGTCTAGATTAGATATTTTAGGCTAGCCCACTCGAATTTGAGAAATTTGACGGGTCAAATTGAGCTGGTCTTTTATTTTGTTGGGCCAAGTAATATCAATTTCAACCTATTACTATTGGGTCGTTAATCACGTCGGGTCAATCTACTTATTTAAAAATTGAGAAACCTACATAATTTTATTAGTTTATGAGCTAATTACTTAACTATCCTCTAGTTTGCAATATTATATATTCTTATCAAATTGGTGTTTCCAAATACATGTATCTCGAGTACATGCAGGTCAAATTTAGGTGTAATTTGTTCTAGATACATTATATTCAAGTAGATTCACATATATCTGAGATACATAAAAAATCTCGCTCGTTTTCCTCATTTCTATCCCATGTATATGGTATCCTTGATACATGTGAATCACCATAAGTAATTACATATACATGTATCTAGTATGATTTGCACATATCCAGGATCGATAGACAATTTTGTTTTCTATTTCTTAGAGATACAAGTTTGGTCTTATGTTCATAAAAATTTGTGTCTTGAAATGGTACCAAGTAAAATCCTTTCTCATACATTATACTCTCAAAATAGTCTATTGAGGCGACAGGACATATGCTAACACCATTCTTTCACTGATTCATTAACATGACAAAATATCAAACATAAAAAAAATAATTCCTTAGAAATGGTTAAGGAAACCGTGATATATAGTATAAGAAAACTTGAGAACATAAATTACTAGTTAAGAAGTAATATAATGATTATCATAATCCTAATCTACAAATAATATACATTTGAAGATCAAGTAGACAACAATCTGCATTACATGACAAACAACTTTGATGTGTCCTAACTCAGTATATTTTTCGTCTTTTTGGAAAAGAAAAAAAATCATTAAAAAGTGAGGATAAAGGACAGAAATCACATGCTTTTAAAATAAAATTAACATTTGTTCCTTATAAGTTTATAATTACAGAAATTTGTCAAACTGATTCAATAATATAAGCGCTGATACATCAATCTGATACGCGAGATACATTAATCGTTAAGTTAGATACATTACATTTTATACATGATATACTAATCTGGTGTACATTTGATACATGATACATTAATCTGATGCGCGAAATACATTAATCTGATGCGCGAAAATAAGAGATTTTGGAGATTTATAAAATTAATAGTGGTAGTAATAATAAGAGAACTTACAGATCGAATTTCTATCATTTTTCCATAATATAATGAGGAATCAGACAGGATAACTAGACAAAATACATAATAATTCAAACGCAAATACGTATTGAATAATCATTATACAAACAAAATCGCATCAAATACAAAAAATATAAGGATTAATTAACCAAAACATACCTGACTTTCGACTTTCTATTGTGTTTATTTTCCAAAAATCTTTTACCCAGTTTATTCTCCAAAACATAAACCTCACAAGATTTTTTTTTGATGAACATCATGAATAATGCACAGATATATCGTTCAACTTTTCAATAAGTTGTAACTGATGTTGAGAGTTTTAAGCATCTGTTACTTTTTATAATTTTTCTCTATTCTAAATAGCTTCTGTTTGTTATTTAAATTATGTATTCTTTATAATTAAATAAAATAATTAAAATATAATTAAAATACATAATAAGGTAAAATTTTGACAGTATCACTAAATATTGAAAGTGTTGACACTATACCCTATTAAATACTAAAATAATGACATTTTAAAAAATTTTCTAAAATAATTGAGGATTTAAATAAATTTTACTACTTTTGAGTTAATTCCTTAACTACACTGTGGTTCGTAATATTGCATATGATCTTATCAAATTTTGGTGCTTCTAGATATACTATCTCGAGTACATGCAGGTCAAATTTAGGAGTAGTTTATTCTAAATACATTGTATCCAAGTATATTCACATATATTTGAGATACATCACAAATTTTGCTCACTTCTCTCCCATGTAGGACTGCGAATCGGTTTCGATTTGGCTTATTGATTATTGATTTGTAGAGATGCTAACCCTTATAGAACCATTAAGATATTGACTTATTCATATTGTTTTATCGATTTTTGATCGTTATTAGTTTGGTAATCGGTTTAACAGTTAAGATTTGACATAAAAAAAGTCATTGAAAATCACTTAGAAACAAGGTGACAAGTCAAATGAATCATGCACATGAGTTCATAAGTTACATCTTGCTCAAAAACAACACTTTTACATTGTAGAATAACCAAATGTTTGAGACAACCAAAAAAAGTAGGAAACCAAACTCTAAGTCAACTGACTTTATATACAAAATGGTATAAATGTAATTAGTTAATTTACTATCGGGTTATCGGTTAATCCGTTAAGAAAAAAAACTCAAACAGTTAAGAATCGATACCCCGATAAAAAAATAAATTAAAACCGTGATCAAAATCGCTAAATCAATAACTTTTTTCCAGTTCGAATTATTGATTTCGATCTGGTTTTGAACAACCCCTACTCCCATGTATGTGATTTCCTAAATACATGTGAATCACTACGAATAATCACAGATACATGTATCTGGAGTAAGACCATTTTGTCTTCTATTCCTTAGAGATACAAGTTTGGAATTATGTTCATAAAAATCTTCGTCTTGAATAGTACAAGTAAAATCCTTTCTCATACATACTCTAGTCAAATGTTTTAGGGACTAGCAAGAGTTCACATTGTTACTCTCAAAATAGTCTATTGAGGCAACATGACATATGCTAACACCATTCTTTCACCGAGTCATTAACATGACAAAATATCAACATAAAAAAAATAAATCCTTGAGAACATAAATTACTAGTTAAGAAGTAATATAATGATTATCATAATCCTAATCTACATATAATATATATTTGAAGATCAAGGAAAACATGCAAGTGGCCAATCAAGAAGCCATGGAGAATAAAGCAATCTTGGAGAATCCCTATTCCCTCACCACAACTTCCTTATCCTCACTTTTCCCCTATTCCCACTCCCATTATATCAAAATGTTCTTTTTCTCTTTTCAAAAAATGGTCTAATTAGTATCTACACCTGTCTTAACCCCATAAGTTTGACTTAAGCTTATTCTTCTACAATCTTCAAACTATTCTCCCACATATCCTCTAGAATATAATTTTTTTATAGAGTATATTTTTTTTTAAGAATAAGAAGCCTGAGGTTTTACTACTTATTATTG